CAGGCAGCTTTTAAAACTATTTCACATAAAGATGTGCAAAATAAAAGAGAACATGGACTTAAAACTAAGGAGGAGGAATTACCATTGAAATGAATACAATTGAAGTTTTTTGGATTGCCTGTTTCCATCCAATGTGATTTGAGGAAAGAACCATTATCTTCTAATTTTTAGATCTGTACAATTATATTTTATATCCTTCAAGCAATTCTCTTTGGGTAGAAGCAAATAACAGATAACAGATAATCAGAGTTGGAAGGGACCTTGTAGGTCATCTAGTCCAACCCCTCTGCCCAAGTGGGAGACCCTACACCATTTCTGACAAATGGCAGTCCAATCTCTTCTTGAAAGTCTCAAGTGATGAAGCTCCCACAACTTCCGAGGGCAAGCTGTTCCATTGGTTGATTGTGCTCACTGTCAGAAAGTTTCTCCTTATTTCCAGGTTAAATCTCTCCTTGTTCAGTTTCCATCCATTATTTAGAAAATAGCTTGACCCCTTCCTCCCCGTGGCAGCCTCTCAAATATTGGAAGACCGCTATCATGTCTCCCCTGGTCCTTCTCTTGACTAGACTAGCCAAGCCCAGTTCCTGCAACCGTTTGTTGTGTTTTAGCTCCAGTCCCCTAATCATCCTGGTTGCTCTTCTCTGCACTTTTTCTAGAGTCTCAGCATCTTTTTTATAATGTGGTGAACAAAACTGGATGCAGTACTCTAGGTGTAGTCTTACTAAGACTTTATAGTGATATTAGTACTTCCCTTGATCTTGATTGTATCCCTCTGTTAATACAATTTAGGATTGCATTAGCTTTTTTGGCTGCTGCTGCATACTGCTGGCTCCTGTTTAGCTGGTTGTCCACTAAGACTCCAAGATCCCTCTCAGTTACTGCTATTGAGCCTGGTTTCACCCAGTCTATATGTGTACTTTTGGTTTTTCTTGCCTAGGTGTAGGACTTTACTTTTCTCTACATTGAATTTCGTTTTGTTAGATATGGCCCAGTGTTCTAGTCTGTCAAGATCCATTTGGATCTTGAGCCTATCTTCTTGGGTGTTAGCTATTCCTGCTAGCTTAGTATCATCTGCAAATTTGGTAAGTTCCCCTTCTATTCCCTCATCTAAGTCGTCAATGAAGATATTGAAGAGTACTGGGCCTAAGACGGAACCTTGTGGCACCCCACTGCTTACTTCCCTCCATGTAGACTTGGACCCATTAAGGACTACTTGTTGAGTACAGTTTGCCAGCCAGTTGTGAGTCCATCTAGTGGTGGTGCTATCTATTCCACTTTTTCTAGCTTACTAAGAAGTAGGTAGTGGTCTACTTTGTGGAATGCCTTGCTGAAATCTAAATATATTATGTCCACAGTATTTTGCTGGTCTACTAATTTAGTCAGAATGAAATAAGATTGGTTTGGCATGATCTGTTTTTAACAAACCCATGCTGACTGCTAGTTATTACTTTACTTGTTTCTAGATGTTGGCAGATTTGTGGACAGCTGCAAAGAATGTAATGAAACACAGCAAGGCAGTCATCACTAGAGACCATTTATTCTGGAATTTCAGAGAAGTATTGCTCTAGACCAGGGTTCTTCAAACTTGACAGCTTTAAGACTTGTGGACTTCAACTCCCAGAATTTCTCCTCCAGTCATGTAAGCTCAGGAATTCTGGGAGTTGAAGTCCACAAGTCTTAAACTTGCCAAGTTTGAAGACCCTTGTTCTAGATGGAACATCAAGGAGATGAACTACACGACAGGGCAGAAGGTTGTCTGATTTTGATGCAGTAGGGAAACTGAGGAAAAAGAGGATAATATTTAAGGAATATTTAAGAAAGTATAATAATGTAGGGTGTTGGGTACCCACCTGTTCACAATCTGAGAACTTTCAGACATGTTGAGACTGCACTAGCCAGAATGTTGTGAGCATGTTTCTAGAATTTCACGGCTTTCAGCAATAACCTGGCTCTCACTGCACAGTATCCTAGTTTGTAGTCTAGAGCAGAGGTCCCTAAACCACGATCCTTGAATCTGCATCGAACCATGGACCAGTGGTGGGATTCTAATTTTTTCTGTGGGCATAGATAAGTGGGCATGGCCAGATAGTCATGTGACTGGATGGATGTGGCTATGTGGTCATGTGACTGGGGGGGGGTCAAGTCTTTTTTCTTTTTTTCTTTCACAGCAGCCCTCCCTCCATGCCCCATTTTTGGCCTAGTGGGCCTCAGGGAAGCCTCCTGGGAGCAAAAACGGGGAGCCGAGGTAGTGGGGTGCAGCTTATTTTATCACAAAAATAAAACTCTTGCAAACTGAGGGCATAGAAAACTATTGAGTGATGCCCAGAAAATTGGAAGATACAGAGAAGGAGAAAGGAACCAGATTTATGGATTCCTGCACTGTTATTCTTTGTACTGCCATGTAATCCAGAGCTTCCCAATCATGGGTATGTTACTCTAAAGTGTTTTTTCTTTGGGTAACAATACACAAATCCATTACTCATTAAACAGGGGCATTTAAGTTGACCTAAAGTGCACCACGCCTATTAAAAGATATTCAAAAATCTCCCAAAGTATTCCTATTAAGACAAAAATGGATGAAACTACCAACAGAAATTTGTTGAAATGACATCAAGATCATTCAATGGTATTGTTTTATAAAACTCAAGATAACCCTTGAGTTATGTTCATTCATTCAGCCATCATTCAAAGTTACATCAGTGCTGAAGAAAAGGACTTACTACCGGTCTTTGGAGTTTGACAAGACTTTTGATAAATGGTTTTGGGTAATGAAGAAAAAAGTTTGCAAGGCACTGATGTAGTGAGTCGGGCATCCTTAAAAGCAACCGCAGCTTTCTTGACTGTGGCCTTTGATGAAGTCATTCATTACCAAGTGGTCCCGTATAATCAGCCAGGATGGATTTATTTGCATTATCTCAAGGCATTTGAGGCCAACAAAAAGTAGGAATGGCCGGATTTGATTCTACAATCAATGTAGCAGCTCTCCACGGATAGGACAAATTACAAGATAGCAGATCTAATGACACAGTGGCTCAGTAGCTGAGACACCGAGCTTGTCGATCAGAAAGCTTGGCAGTTCGGCAGTACGCATCACTAGCACTGCGTAACGGAGTGAGCTCCCATTCCTTGACCCAGCTTCTGCCAACCTAGTAGTTTGAAAGCATGTAAAAAATGCAAATAGAAAAAATAGGGACCCCTTTGGTGGGAAGGTAAGAGCATTCCGTGTGCCTTCGGCGTTTAGTCATGCCAGCCACATGACCACGGAGGTGTCTTTGGACAGCGCTGGCTCTTCGGCTTTGTAACGGAGATGACCACCACCCCGTAGAGCTGGAAAAGACTAGCACGTATGTGCAAAGGGAATCTTTACCTTTACCTTTAATCTAATGTAGCAGCAAATTGGACTGCATGGAAATAAGCCAGCAATTTAGAAATGGTTCTTTTGACAGTTGTCTTTTGCTTCTTGTTGGGACAACCAGGCCGCCTGCTGGTAAAATTACCAGATCTGGTCTATATAACATTCCAGGTGTCCACTAGATGGCAACAAAGACATACAGGAAAAATTACATAGGCCTGTAAATTTCTGAAGCCAGGTCATACATACACACCTAGATTATAAAGTTATAATGATGTACTTTGCACTCTTTTTTTTTCTTTCATAAAATGAGGTCGCGTGACCATGGAACACTGGAAACAGCTGAAAATGTGGCATGGCTTCTGAGCACCTAGTGGGGTCATGTGACTGCCAGGGGGCAGCAACAACCAGAAATCCAGGTCGTAAGGTCATAAATCCAGGCCGTAAGCACTCCTCAGGTAGGTCCATCAGAACTTCAAACTGTCACTTAAGTCAAAGACTACCTGTATTAGAGCAACTCTCCAACTACAACTTGGCTTTATGACCAGCTGGAAGAGTGAACTGTCTGTGGTCCTGAACTCCTCTGCCCTTCAACAAAGCAGTGGCCTCCAACCTTTTTTGTACCACGGCCCGGTACCGGCATCACAAAATGATCCATGGACCGGTACCGGCATCAGCACGCACGACCAAGGCAAGGCGGGCCGAGCGACCGGCCAGCCAGCTGTCCCCCGCTTCTTCCCGCCACCTTCAACTCCTCCTTTGTACCTTCTCGCGGTCGATGGGCTTAATCTCCTCCTGAGTAACGCGAGACTCCACCGCCATCGGGATGGCTCTTCGTTCGAAGCCGCCGCCCCCTCTTCGACGAAACTAAGGCGCGAGGATTCCTTCAGCACCCAAATGCCGCTTTCCATCCAACCGACGACCGACAAGCTCACCCGGAAGCACTTTCTCAAGCGCCGTCGAAACAAGATGGCGGAGCCCAAGCAAAGTAGGCGGCCTGGTACAAAATGATCCACGGACCGGTACCAGTCTGGGGCCCGGTGGTTGGGGACCACTGCAACAAAGGATCTCCATAGACTCAAACTTGAAGAACCAACCTTTTTTTTTTTTAAAGTATAACAGTAAGTGTTTTAAAAACATAAATATTTTAATAGGCTACCAAACAATATTATACTCCAAGCCAAGCAAAGCCGTCTGATCTATGTAGTCAAAAGGACCAAAAAATGTTACCCTTGTGATCATCCCTGCTAATGGAAAGGAAGTTATCCCTAGGGGGAAAATACAATGCCCATTTCCTCTTTATTAGAGAATTAGAGCAATAAACCATGACACATTTCAGACATTCATGTCCTTGTTTAAATAATCTGTCCCAACAATTTCCAAGCAATGCATTCATCTGGAAAAAAAAAAGGTTTCATGGCAGATGCCACCATGATGGCTCTAATTTTTTTTTCCAGCCTCCATCATCACCGATGCTTCTAAAATTGGGCTGGTGCCAACAAACACCTGAGTAATTCCCACCGTAGAAGGTGATGCCTAAACTCTTCCAGGATCTGCCTTCACGCTCAGCATCCTCTTCTTTGGAGTTAATTCTGCTACCTGGAACAGGGTAAATCCACTAGTTCTCCTTAGTCAGCTGAGCATCCTGCTATTCAGCCATTTTCTGAAAAGTGGCAAACACTTGTTCTACGTGCTCCAGCTCTGAACGAAGCAAGGAAATCTGTGGGGAGGAAAAAAGAGCGTCAAGTAAGTAGGTGGGCCATGCCTTGCTAGCCTCGTGGCATGGTTTTCTTTGAGCTCTATGACAACGCTCTCAAAACGTCAACTGGGCCAGTGGAACCAAACAATCAGGAATCTCAGCATGAAGCTCTTTTTTTTTTTTTTTTTTTAAAACAAGTTTTATTAAAAGTTTCAACAACAAACAAATCATTACATATTAAATCTTTCCCTGTCTTTCTACAATAATTTCCCCAATATTCTCATAAAACACAAACAAACACAAACAAACATAAAAAAAATCTTTTAGTAAAGTACCTTGGCCCCAGTTACCTCTCTTTGCATGGGCTAAAATAATAGCACATATCACTCTTCACATTTCTATCTTATTTAATCCATCTTAATTAAATCATTAAATTTGTATCTTTTGCCCATTCATTTATCCCTCTATCTCTTCTTATAATAAAAAAAAATTCTCCTGAAATCACTAATCAGAGTATGATGCCTTTCTATCCTCCCCCTAAGTTAGTAAAATTAACATTCAGCATAACAAATACCCAATTTGGTTCTGCTTGGTACATTCTATCCACCAAAAATGTTTAAATACATTGTATCCTCCTTTCCTTCGATATTTTATTACATTTTAAAAATCAATCATTATTAAAAACTTCAACATTTTAATTTCTTATTAAATCTTAAACCATTCTAATTTACTATTTCAAATATAAATGTTACAATACCATCTTCTGTACCTTAGCAGAATCTTTCTTACAGAAAATTATATTTCATCCTTTGTCTCTAAAAAAAATCCCTCTTCTCCCATCCAATTTTAAAGCTTTGAGGCTTTTCTCCGCCTTTCCCCTTTCTTTCTTCCCCCACCAAATCTTCCTACCCCCCCTTCTTCTTCTAACCTCTGCCTTGCTGGGATCCCTTCTCTGTTGTGTTCCCTTTTTCTCTTGTTTGTTATCATTATATTTACTTTGCATCATATTTTTCTCTTTCTCAAATGTTTTTTTAGATCTTAAGTCCTTCATTTTCCTTGCTCTCTTCCTTCCTTCTTCCTTAGATAAGTTTTGGGATTCAATAAAGATGGCGTCTTCGTCTTTTCCTTGTTGTTGTTCTTCCGGTTTGTCGGCTTCGCGAGCGGTAGGGATTCGCGAAGCTGCGCGATCCCTGCCGCGCTAGCCGTTTTGGGGCTCCGACCCGGACGGGTGCGGAGCAAGGCTGCCCTGCAGGGGTAGCTGAAGGTAAGGGGGATCCGGAGGAAGGGTTTGGGGGTGTTGCAGACCCCCTCCCTGGCCGGCAGAACCCCCTGTTACCAGGACGGTGCAGCGGCGGTCCGCAATGGCCGCCACAAAGAAGTTGACAGCCGGGCAAGTATGCGCAGGAGGAAGAAGAGAAAGTTATTGAAAGTGAAAGTTCTTCTTGGTCGACCCAGGGCTTTGAGATTTATCTAATTTAATTCCTGGAAAAGATGGTTTTCTGATGATTTCTTCCACAAGAGAAAAAAAAGCGGCTATTTTGAGGTGCTGAAGGGAAAGTTTACTCTCCCTCCCGACGGAATTAAGCCGGAAGGGAGAGGATAAAGAAAATATATAAATTTGGATCTTGTTGGAGGAGATGCCTTGAAGACTTGAGGACAGAAATACAATCTTAATAAGGCTTTAAAATATAGATTTGGATTCTTTTTTTTTATTTGTTTGATACCACCCCTGGAAGAGGAAGGGGGAATTTTGGCTTGCTTGGATTTATTGAGGATTGTGGATTTTGGGATTGTTTTGCCTTTCTCTCGGAATATTTGGTTGGTGTAAGAAGTAAGAGGAATAAAGAAAAGAAAAGATTTATTTATAATGGCTTTCCTTTTTGAAGACCTGAGGGATGAATATGAGCAAACAAAAGCAGCCTGCAAAGATGGCATGGAAAAAGCTTTTTTATTTCTAGAAATGGCGCTGGTCAATTACCAACAGACAATGGAACAGATGGAAACGGAAGAAGAACAACAAGGAAGAGACGAAGACGCCATCTTCATTGAATCCCAAAACTTATCTAAGCATGAAGCTCTTGATACCTTTTGCTCATGATTCATTTTGGCTTTTAAGGAGTTTTGCTTCTGAAGTTTCTCTGTGAGGTTTGCCAGCCGTTGCTTTAATTTCTGTTGCCGAAATGTTAGTTTGAGGAGTTCTTTGTGAGGATCCACCAAATCCTAGGATGAGAAGAAAAAAATCAGAAAAAAAACTGTAGTGGAAGATATCCCCCCTTCTAAACATCCATTCTCCATCTACGGTCCTTCTATCTCTCTGTGGTATCTCTCTCTCTCTCCCTCCCTTCCCCCCTCTCTCATTATCTGTCTGTCTATCTATCAATCTGTCTGCCATTTTGTCTAACTACATGCCTATCAATCTATCACTCTGTCCCTATCATCTATCTATCTATCATCGATCCATCCATCCATTCACCTACCTACCTATCATCTATATCTCTCTATCTCTCTATCTATCTATTTATCTGTGTCTGTCTGTCTATCAGTCATCCATCCATGTGTATGTATGTATGTGTATGTATACACACACACACATACATACATACCTATCATATCTATCTACCTACCTACCTACCTACCTATTGGTGTCTGTCTGTCTGTCTGTCTGTCTGTCTGTCTGTCTATCTATCTATCTATCTATCTATCTATCTATCTATCTATCCATCCATCCATCCTCAGCGGCTCAAAGTTGACTAGCCTTCCATCCTTCCATCATCTATCTATGACGCTCTGGCCTATACATGTTCCCTGATAAGAGGCCATAAACTTTCTACAGTGCTTTCAATCATCTTTTCTTTGAATCTTGAATCCAGTAATATGTTAAATTGTAACCCACCTGCAGATCCATGTAAATGCTAGTATGGCCATTGACTTTCACAGCCAGGCAGTTCAGAGGTAGATCTATTTCCTCAGAATTGGGGAGAAGATTCACAGATCCAGCCAAAGACAATGTCTGTAATGGCTCCTGATATTTCTCATAGGCAGCCCAGGGGGCTGTTTCTGAGCAAGCCAGATACACTGGAGAAAAGTAGGAAAAAATTAATGTATAATGTGCCACCTTCAAGAAGTCAAGACCCTAAGAGAAGAGAACAACCTACTTTTGATTGGGAATCTTGTTATTACCCGCACATGGATATATTTTATAAAGTCTATAAATAAGTATCTAATAAGCCTTGCAAGCAGGGGTGGGATTCTACCAGTTCACACCTATTCACTAGAACCAGTTGTTAACATTCTAAGCAGTTCAGAGAACCAATTGTTAGAAGAAATTGCTGGCCTAATCCTGTAAGGAAGGCAGGAAGGAAACATTCTGGTGTTGCTTACAGAAACTGCCTCTCCGCTAACCCTTATTACATTCTTGGCAGGACTAGACTTCCTGTCTCAGGAACGTCTCTGGAGTTTTTCCCCCCTCCTTTGCTAGTACTTTGCTTGTGTGGAGTGACCAAAGTTACAATGGCACTGAAAAAAGTGACTTATGACCATTTTTCACACTTACGACTGTTGCAGCATCCCCACAGTCAAGAGAGGCCAGGCGAGGAGATGCATGCCTCGATGTGAGTGATATTGAGTTGGCCACGCCCAGCCAATAACATGACCTCCAAGTCACGTCCACCTAGTCACATGACCACCAAGCCATGCCCACCAACTAAGCCACGCCCACAGAACCGGTTGTTAAAAATTTGAATCCCACCCCTGCTTGCAAGGAGAAACCTTCCTCATCAAATAAACATAAATCTTGATCTTCTGCCTACCTTTGCAACGAACCCAGGTGTAACTCAAGAGATATTGTGAGTTTCATTCCAGATTATTGCAAAAAAGCAAATACCACAAGAAAGTGAGTCACATGAATTTTTGAATTAGGGCTAATAATGTTAATCATCATTTGAGCTTCAGCTAATTGTTACCGTTTTTGCTAGTGGAAAATTGTGATATCTGTGAAGCACTATCAAGAAAAGTGAATAAAACAAAATACCCCTGTACCTATTCAAATATCTTTTGGATTGAAGTGGCTTTAAAGATATCTCTTGAAAATGCAGAACTGACAGAATGAACCACATCTGCTGGTACTGGTGCTACAATCTATAGGCCTATGAGTACACCCTATTTATTATTTAAAATTATGTGCTACCCATGAAGTATTACCCATATAATACTCTGCTAGAGGGAAGTCCATGCATCCATAAGCTTTGGAATGAAAATGGAGAGTTCAGACTCACCTGTTGGTCGAGCTTTGGTTAGCTGGTAAGTTGCCTTCATGGAGCGTATCACTTGGATAATTTGCTGCGCTAACAAAAAGTTTGCCTCTTCCTCAGGATTACACCAATGTCTCTAGAAGTGGAAGAAAATCACTCTTGAAAAGATATCTTTTATTTTTATTTATACATTTTTCTTTAACATATGTAGGTATTTAATAGACAGTGTATTGTCTGGGTCATTTTACATACACATAAGAATAACAGTAATAATATTCTTTACTTGTATATAATAGTATTCTTCCAACTTCTAATTTCTACCTTTGTTAGCTAACTATTGATAAAACAAATCCCAAGTTAAAAAGTATTGTGTCTTCTTTTGTTCTTTATCGTTAATGTTAATCTGTCCATTTCCGCACAAACTAATATTTTTTTATTATATTTTTCATCTGAAGGAGTTTCCTCATTTTTCCAGTGTTGCACAAATACAATTCTCGCTGCCATCAAAATATGTAATATTAAATATACATTCCCTTTATTATATATTTTCTGGCAAAATATCTAATAGAAATATTTCTGGCTTTAAATCTATATGTTGTTTAACCATGTATGTATTTTCATCTATAGATAGATAGATAGATAGATAGATAGATAGATAGATAGATAGATAGATAGATAGATAGATAGATAATTTGCCTTTGGGCAGGTCCATCGCATATGGTAGAACGAACCCGGTATCTATCAGGGGAGACATGATAGCGGTCTTCCAATATTTGAGGGGCTGCTACAGAGAGGAAGGGGTCAAGCTATTTTCTAAAGCTCCTGTAGGCCAGACAAGGAATAATGGATGGAAACTGAACAAGAGAGATTTAACCTGGAAATAAGGAGAAACTTTCTGAGTGAGAACAATCAACCAATGGAACAGCTTTGCCCTCGGATATTGTGGGAGCGCCATCAGTTGAGACTTTCAAGAAGAGATTGGACTGCCATTTGTCAGAAATGGTGTAGGGTCTCCCGCTTGGGCGAGGGTTGGACTAGATGACCTACAAGGTCCCTTCCAACTCTGATTATCTGTATCTTTTTCATGCTGTCAAATTCTAGGGATTTCACTGTAATTTATTCAAGGAAGAACTAGGTTTGCCCCAAGAAATGGAGGTTACCATGTGAAAGTTGGACTCACCAGATGTTCAGGGCTCGGGTACCTGGCCACACAGATACTAGGAGACGTCTCCAGGTGTGTCTTGGGAAGCCTCTGCCACAGCTCCTCAGTGAGGAAAGGCATGAAGGGGGACAGGAGGCGTAGTGCCAGGTCTACGCAACTGTACAAAGTCTGCTGAGTAGACAAAAGGCGGACTGGATCCCCAGACCTCAGGATGGGCTTGACGGATTCCTGGAAAGAGAGAGCAAACACCTTAATGACGGAGCTCTAAAATCTGCAGGCCCGTGAAAGGTTTTAGCACAGAACGTCTGCAACCCAATAAGCTCTGCAGGAGTTAGATCACAATTCCTGGAACTGGCATCACCTTAGAGAAGCCCGTTTTAACATAAGACACTCCTTCTGGGCACTTTAGCAATAGCAGTAGCACTTAGACTTATAGACCACTTCATGGTGTTTGCCAGCCCTCTCTAAGTGGTTTACAGAGTCAGCCTATTTGCTCCCAACAATCTGGGTCCTCATTTTACCCACCTCGGAAGGACGGAAGGCTGAGTCAACCTTGAGCCTGGTGAGATTTGAACTGCCAAATTGCAGGCACCGGCAGTCAGCAGAAGTAGCCTGCAGTACTAAACTCTAACCACCGCGCCACCATGGCTCATATGGAATCCAACACATCCAGGTCTTTCAGACTCTTCCAAAACGGTCCAACATAGAATAACCTATTTACAGGTAGGCCTCAACTTACAACCTTTCGTTTAGTGACTGCTTGAAGTTACAATGGCACTGAAAATAGTAGCTTAGGAGCGTTTTTCACACTTACAATCATTGCAGCATCCCCAGGTCATGTGATCAAAATTCAGACAGTTGGCAACAGGTTGATATTTAGGATGGTTGCAGTGTCCCGGAGTCTCCTTTTGCAACCTTCTGACAAGCAAAGTCAATGGGGAAGCCAGATTCATACAACAACTGTGTTGCTAATTAACAGCAGCAGTGATTCACTTCACAGTAAAGGTCATAAAATGGGGCAAAACTGACTGAACCACTGTCTCACTTAGCAATAGGAACGTTGGGTTCAATTGTGGTTGTAAATGGAGGACCACCTTTACTCCATGTGGCTTCCAATGAGGAATCTCGCATGAAAAAAATCAAATCCCCCAAATTCTTGAACTCTCTCTGTGCCTTTTCCTTCTTAACATCGACCCGCATTCTTTCCTACGCCAAACTAAGCTCCTCCCACAGCAAGGGAGTTGTTGAATCCTGAATCAATAGTAAGTTTACCAGATAGGTACTGCAAAAATCTTGCACCCAGAAAAGAGAAATAGCATTGGCCACAGAATGCAATTTGTAGTTCTCGAAGTGCTGGGCACAATATTCTGCTGTGTGATAGAGACGGCTCAAGATCCACTGGTCCATTGGAAAGCTTGGGAAGACCTGGAAGGCATAAAGAAAGATAATTCAGAATCATGATGCCTTTGTGGTATTGATGAAGGTATCCTTTCTTGAAAAATAGAGGAAGATTGGGTGGGATAAAAACTGATTGCATAGAGGCCATAAGTATAGTATGTACTTATATAAGTGTTGTGACTCGGAGGGTTGAGCCTGCTCTGTTAGAAGACACAGACTCGAGTAATGAGGAAGAGGAGGATTTGGCCTTGAGTTTTGAACCTGCCTTGCTGGAAGTTTCGGAATCATCTCCCTCCCCAGGACCTTCCTCCCTGGTTGTGCCTCAGGTGTCGGCAGATAATCAGGAGAGCGTGCCAGAATCCTTGGCTGAGGATCAAGCCAAGGAATGCTGGTTGGATGCAAGGCAAAGACGTAGACATTGACGTGAAATGACACGTAAAAGGAAAGGTCAAATCAGGAACTGACTTGAGAGACTGACACGCCCCTCAGGAAATAAAAGAGGGCGTGTTAGCTCTGAATCTCTGTTCGGGACAATTTGTTTATTCGTGATAGCAGCTTGGACAAACTCTCCGTGCGGCATTTGCTTCTTGATTTATGGTCTTGTTTGTTATTGGACTTGGCAGGCAGCTTTTGGAAGACTGTCAAGGATTCCTCCAGTCAAAGGAATTTAACTCTGTTGTTCCTGGTCCTGTCTGTTTATTTATATTCCTTTGAAAACTTGGACTCTCACCTCGTGGTCACAGGTGAGACAGAACATATAAGTATAGAGATATCTTGAGGAATGTATCTTTTTTTTATGTACACTGAGACCATATGCACCCAGACAAGTTCCTTGTGTGTCCAATCACACTTGGCCAATAAAGAATTCTACTCTATTCTATTCTATTTTTGATTTCTATGGGGTCAGGTAGAGGTTATGGCTGGCTCTATAGGATCTATGTTCAGGAGCTCACCTACTCACAAGGTTCCTGTTCAGTTCAAACCTGCAACAATATTATGCACCAGAGACAAATTCCTTGTGTGTCCAATCACACTTGGCCAATAAAGAATTCTATTCTATTCTATTCTATTCTATTCTATTCTATTCTGTTCTGTTCTGTTCTGTTCTGTTCTGTTCTGTTCTGTTCTGTTCTGTTCTGTTCTATTCTAATTGAGAGGATCATACATGTATGATCATCATAAACACACCTCTGTTTAAGGACAAGTTTGAAAGTGGGATCATTACATATAGTCTTCGACTTATGACTGGTTGCTCAGTTATGTCAGACCATCCAAAGGTATTTATGACCTGATTTTGAAGTTCCAATTGCCAGCCTCTCGCCCTACATGGTCATGTGAGTGCTATTTTTTTACAGTGCCCTCTGGTCACGTGACTGCTATTTACATTTTTACTTTGGCAAAAATACATAAACTGTTCGGCATTCGCTAATGACCATGGATTCATTTAATGGCCTTGATCATTCCTTTAATGACTGCTGGATAAAGAAGTCATAAAATCGGGTCGTGATGATACACTTATGACTATCTCAATTTATAACCATAATGGGCAGGCTCCATTATGGTCCTAAGTCAAGGACTATCTTGTACACCAGTGGTGGGATTCAATTTTTTTTACTACCGGTTCTGTGGGTGTGGCTTGGTGGACCTGGCAGTGGAAGGATACTGTAAAATCTCCAGTCAGAGGTGGCATTTGCTGATTCTTCGAACTACTCAAAATTTCCCCTACTGGTTCTCCAGAACTGGTCAGAGCCTGCTGAATACCACCCTTGTTGCACACTTGGAAAAATGATTTATTCCAGATTTCTATAGCACAGCCCCTATTTGCACATAATTTCTCTCCATCCGTCTAGTTGCGCTAAAGGTGGTAGATGCTGAGACTGGACTGTCTTGTCCAACTCTAGATATGGTCATTTCTCAGTTGTGGTTATATGGTAAATCATAGCAGAAGCACAGTCCCCACTCACACAGCTTCTGAACAATTGCCAGGAGTTAATAGTTAACTTTAGTGCAATAATTAATGTCTAGTCTAATGAAAAAAAAGTAGCAGTGACATGATAGCTGTGTTCCAATATTTGAGGGAACGCCACAAAGAAGACAAGGGATCAACCTATTCTCCAAAGCATTTGAAGGCTGGACAACAAGCAACAAATGGAAATTAAATCAAGAAGAGAACCAATGTAGAACTAAGGAGAAATTTCCTGACAGTGAAAACAATTAACCAGTGGAATAGCAATAGCAAACGCACTTAGATTTATATACCGCTTTAAAGTGCTTTACAGTTCTGTCTAGTCAGCCTAATGTCCCCAATAATCTGGGTCCTCATTTTACCCACCTCGGAAGGAGGGAAGGCTGAGTCAACCTTGAGCCTGGTGAGACTTGAACTGCCGGCAGTCAGCAGAAGTAGCCTGCGGTAAAGCATTTTTAACTACTGTGCCAATGGCTTGCCTTCACAAGTTGTGGGTGCTCCCATCACTTTGAAGAAGAGATTGGACAGCCACTTGTCTGGAATTGTATAGGGTCTCCTGCTTGAGTAAAAGGTTGGACTTGAAGACCTCCAAGGACCATTCCAACTCTGTTATTGTTATACGAGATAGTTATCCACACCGCCAAGGGATCCAAAGTTCAGAAGACCCACAATATTTGGGGACTTGGGAGTTTCCGGTTTGTCGGCTTCGCGAGCGGTAGGGATTCGCGAAGCTGCGCGATCCCTGCCGCGCTAGCCGTTTTGGGGCTCCGACCCGGACGGGTGCGGAGGAAGGCTGCCCTGCAGGGGTAGCTGAAGGTAAGGGGGATCCGGAGGAAGGGTCTGGGGGTGTTGCAGACCCCCTCCCTGGCCGGCAGAACCCCCTTTTACCAGGACGGTGCAGCGGCGGTCCGTAATGGCCGCCACAAAGAAGTCGGCAGCCGGGCAAGTATGCGCAGGAGGAAGAAGAGAAAGTTATTGAAAGTGAAAGTTCTTCTTGGTCGACCCAGGGCTTTGAGATTTATCTAATTTTAATTCCTGGAAAAGATGGTTTTTTGATGATTTTTTCCACAAGAGAAAAAAAAGCGGCTATTTTGAGGTGCTGAAAGGAAAGTTTACTCTCCCTCCCGACGGAATTAAGCCGGAAGGGAGAGGATAAAGAAAATATATAAATTTGGATCTTGTTGGAGGAGATGCCTTGAAGATTTGAGGACAGAAATATAATTTTAATAAGGCTTCAAAATATAGATTTGGACTCTTTTTTTTTTGTTTGTTTGATACCACCCCTGGAAGAGGAAGGGGGAATTTTGGCTTGCTTGGATTTATTGAGGATTGTGGATTTTGGGATTGTTTTACCTTTCTCTCGGAATATTTGGTTGGTGTAAGAAGAAAGAGGAATAAA